CCCCAAGTCACTTGGTAGTTGTTAGGGGTCAAAGAATGTGTGTTTTGAGGCAGCGTGACCGTTTACAACTAATGTGCATTATAATTGCCATGGTTAATGTCTAAACACTTCAAGTTGTAGCTTCATGGTAAAGAATGCTTTTTGGCCAATTTTAGATTGATACACCTGTGATGTTTGGCTGCAGCATGGTTATGTAGTACTACTTAAGGCCAGGTGGAAACTGGAAGACCTAGGTTTTTTTCACCTGTGGTGATGTTAAATGTGGAATGCCATGATTATATAGTATATTTTAGTGAAGAATACAGGAGTGAAAATGGTTTTGGTCTTGCTATTGTTTGACACAGTGAATAAGCACGACATTATCGGTTACTGAAATTTTGTCCAAGGCATTGGAATATCCCACAGTCTTTTAATATGCTATGTAAAGTTAGTCTCCAGCTGCTTTTAATGTAGGTGGAGGTGAGGGTTGCCTAAGGAATAGGACTGGTCATAACAAACTGAAGTAGTTAGTGTGTTGTGGTCCAGCATCCTGCGAGTTAAAACCGCCCATCTGCCTTGCCAACAAGATAACGCGTTTCCAACAGTAATGGGAAACTTATGCAAATCACTTCCATCAGGCTGGGTGCTGTTAGATCCAAGAATGAGATTCACAATAGCTAATCGTTGCTTCTTGTCGCTTTGTAAGTTTGGCTTTTATTTGTTAGGGTTTTTTAATGAAGCTATACAGGCTAGGTAATGGCCTAGTCTCCCAGCGCTAGCTTCAGAAATCAGTTTGCGGTAGTATGACTACATATGTGTGAATGGTCACAACTGTTTAACAAACAGCTCTTTGCTTTTGGGTTTGAAGTTTTTTGGTTTGGGTTGTGTTTTTGGTTGTGTGTGGGTGTTGGTTTTTTTTTAAGGGTGTTTTATTTTCTGGTGAAGAGGTAGACATTCAATAAGCCCTTGCTGCTGAAAATGAACTGGAAGGCTTTGCCTAACATATGTGCATGATTTATTTAACTCTAGCTTTGTAAGGTTTAAAGAAACTTCCATTACTAAGCAGATATAATTCATTTTTTAAGCTATATATTCTGTTTTTGTTCAAAGGAAAATGAATGCTTCCATTTTACAACATGTTTGGATTGCTCAAAATAACTGTGCAAAATAGGAAGTAATTGAAAAATATCTCTAAGTGATTATCAGCTTCTTTTTTAATAGAAGGCAGCTTTCAGAAGCTGTGAGAATACTATGCCATCCACCTTATGTGTGACTCCTGTTTTGACACTCACTCACCCCCCTGCCCCCCATTCTTATTTTTCTCTGTCTCTCCCCTCTTCCAGTTCCAATTAAAACAGGAAGTTCTTAGATTATCAAAGCATCAAGCAATGCAAATTAAATGCAAATGAAAAATGTAAATGAAGTAATAGGATTTCATCATATGTGTGTCCAGGAAGAAAAGCAGCTGAACCTAAGATATTTCATCTGAGATATTTATGGCTAAGATATCAGAGTATTGAGACCACCATTCAAATTATTGATAAAAAAATTTGAGATACTGTATAGCTGTGTTCAAGGAAATACAGGTCTTGTAAGAGAGATGTATAAGCTCAAACAGCTTTGGCAAAAGAAACTGCTGCAAATTGGTCATGGGTAAATCTGGGGTCCAGGTAAGGAGAAGAAAGTTCTAACCAGCAGGATTCAGGCACAATCTCTTTCTAAGAGTTGAGGAGTAAAAGGATTAAGCTAACCTTATGTGGTGGTGGTTTAAACAAATGAAAAGGATTACCCTTGGTTATCCTCTTTAATGGGGGGAAATGTTACTTAGTGACCTAGCTAGGAGTTCCCTTTCATTCCTGCTTCCCATGATCTTAACCATGTTGTGATTTCATATTTATGCTCCACACCCCTTCTTTATGCTGTAAGTTAAGCAGAGGATTTTTTAAAATCAGATGTGTTCAATTCTGAATGTAATATGCCTTACAGGAAGAGCTTTATACATATGTTCATACTCTTAAAAGTTTGTGCAGAAACTAGGTAAAATGTATCATGGAATTTCTCATGAGTGAACCTTTCCCCCAGATAGCACAGCTGTTGGTGTGCATCAGGTTACCTAACTATGCAATGCTGTAGATACCTTCTGTTTGCATTGTCACATGCTTCTGCAGCTAAATTTTGGAGTAATGAAGATTTTTATCTCAGGATAGCAAGCCAGTAAGTAGTTGGTGCATTTCAAAATAGAATTAATTTTCTTAAGAAGATAAGTGGAGTCTTTTGATTTATGCTAGGCTTTTAAGAATGCATGAGACATATCGATGTGTTCTGTATCAGTTCTATGGGACCTAGAACGAGATTTTATAGTGTTGTTATTTTTTATGACTTACTGCAGTGTAGCAGTACAGTAGAATAGTTTTATTTTCTCCACAGTAATAGGTCCAATAGGTACATTGCTTACTGACTTTGAGAAGAGAGAAGTCAGCTCCTAACAGTCTTAGTAGTTAAGAATTGCATTTTTTACACTGTGAAAGTGTTTTTGCAACACATCCAGTGTCTTTATTTTTCATAGTAAATCACACAGTTTTGAATAACTGTTATCAGCCTAAGATGCGGATGTGACAGATTTCACTTCTTGCTTTCCTGGCTTTTAGTAATCCAAGAAACTGGACATTTATTCAGGTTATCAATGAAATGCTGGACTTCCAGTTTAAAACAAACAAAAAACTAAACAACCCAAACCAAAAAGGAACACACAATTCCCCCCCCCCCCCCCCATTTTCCTTCAGGTCTGTGGAGACTGTATCTACACAAATACTTTCCTTTCTTCATACCCCCTGGTTGCAGCAGTGAGGGCCCTAATAATTTTGGTGGCCTCTGAATAGTCTTCCTCCCTGTATTCAGGGAGGCAGGAAAACACAGGAGCACCTTGCAGTCTGTATGCATGCTCCCATTAGCACCGCATTCAGTGGTGTCAGGAAAGTTGAAATGTATAGGTACCAGCTAAGCTGGGTTATCTAAAGATGCTGAAAAGAACTGATGGTGCTTCAGTGGTGCATTTTGTTTTGGAACATACTGATAGTAAAATCACTGGAATACAGAAGTGTTTCTGCTGTCACTCCAGTTGTATGGAAGTTATATGCATTTCAGTGGGACTTGTCAGGAACTTTTGAGACTTGGTTTTTGTCCTAATTGGTCAACCAGTCAAAATAGTTGTCATCTTTATTGCAAGTGATTCCAGGAGATAGCTGGTATTAGCTGCTGTGAAGAAAAGTAAGCTGCTGTTCTGTGTAACTGAAAAGATCGGATGTTGTGGACTGATCTTGTGCTCTTTAGTTGTGCTGAAGAAAACTGCTGCTGTTCTAAGAGCAAAGTTCTTTCTTCAGCTCTGTTTGGCTCTCAACAAAATGAAAGGAGCTGAGCTTCACAGAAAGAATAAACTAAAAAAAAAAAGTGTCTTGGTATTTCTGCTTGCTTTTTAAATGTGGGCATTATGTGTACCTATCCCAAAAACTATACAGACTTGAAATAACTTCACATTTGTTTTCTACAGTACTTATTCTTTGTTAATGATTTAGTTATGACTCCTCAAAATGTTAAAATATAAAAATAATTGTCTTGGAAATAGTTTATGAGTAACTCTCAGCTTTTAGAACTTAACGCTTTTATTGCTGGACTTGTGTTTGATAGGAGGCTGGAATGCTGCTTCCCTCTCTTAAAGATTAAATCTGCACTATAGCTTTAAAGCAACTGTTGGTGCAGGTAGATTGTAGCAGATTTTATGCCCTTACTGTAAAATATTGGAAGTTGGCTCACACTTAGCTACAGGCTGGTTCTGTATCACACAGTCCAACCATGCTGCTTTTAAAATTCAACTTCCTGCTTGCATATTAAGATGCATCTGAGGAGGAGACTTACTGTTCCTGTGGGACAGGTAATTAAAGTTCTGAGTAGCTTAAATAAAGATTTGTGTAAATCACTAATGAGATTGGCATCCTGAGCTCCATTGCTTTGTTGTACAATGTGGACCAGACCACTTTTGCTTAAATATTTACCTTGTACTTCCAAAAGAGTTTGGGTTACAGGTTAGTGTATGGTAACATTTTTTTCCTCTTTAAAATAAAGCCTATTTTAAAACCGCTTGTTTTCAGATTCTTCCTATTTCAGGGAGCTCTCATGCATCTGCATAGGATGTATCTTCCCAAACCTCGAATTAGACTTCATTTCAGCGTCTTTGTGCCTTGTGGCTTGTAGGGCATGGAAAAAGAAAATTAAGAGTTTACAACAGATAACAGTAGGTGCCCTTAGAAAAACTGAACTTTTAAGGAGGTAATTCATAGGAGTTTATGCATTATGCCTGTCTTGTCCTGAGGGAAAGGGGGGAGAAACTGATGATTCAATTATTTGGCATACAGCAGTGGAGCAAAATAGCAGTTTTGCTAAACATCTGACATTTAAGGATTGGTTTAGGGAGGGAGAGTGTATTAACAATTGTGAAATTTAGACTTTTGAACTATTCAGCTAGACGAGAATGATGCTGAGATCGTTGTGGCAAGAAGTAAAAGACTCTAAGCTGCTTTCAGCCTGAAGTTGAGTACCTTAATACTGATCTGTGATTACATGAGGAAGGAACAGTGTGATCAGTAACTCCTATGCTTAACATCTTTGCCCCAAGTTGTTTATGTCTAGGTTCACTGGCAGAAGAATCAGTAATGCATATGGTGTCTGTGGTTTGGAGCTTGTATCAGCATTAAGTTGCGATGCCCTAGTTGGTAGAATTGCATTTCTAGGCCAGTCTGCCTGATTCTCCCTAAAAGCAGGGAGGTGACTGTGTGACTGCTGTTTTAGAAATGTATCTTAGATGTTAGCCACATACTGAGTACTTTTAATTTTAATTTCTCTAAGAAGCATTACTAGCTGCCGCCTCCTGCACTGCCTGTGTAAAGATTTTGTGTTCTCACTTCTTACCACTTCATAAAGTTACCTGGCTTACTATTTAAAATGTATGCGTGTATATATAAGTAAAGCAGGCAGAGCAACCTGGTTCAGTTAGTATCTTCTGTCTGCGTGTTCTCCACAGCCATTTTCTCTTGCTATTAACAGAACAAAGGCTTTGGTAGACCTAGGCCGGCTGTGGCAAATGCGTATATGCTGAGAAGCAAGCAGTGGCATTTCTTGTATAGTTCTACGATAGGCTAACACATACACCAGCAAAGGGAGTCAATGCTCAAAGAAAAGGACTGCCAGTGGTAAATATTGAACTGAAAACAGCTCATTCTTCTTCTGCTAATATGTGCAGGTGGTGTAGTTCCAGCAGAGCTGCTAGTTCTGGTGGGTTGAAGTCTGGAGACTCCCAGCATAATGAGAGAGTTACGTATTGCTGCTCTTCAGACAGAGCCTTATGACTGGAAATTCCGACTGGTCTTGGAAAGGCAATTGTAGATGTTACGCAGTGGGAACGTGACTTGAGAAATCTCGTTCTCCTGTTTGGTTGTTTGCTCCTCCCCCCCTCTGTAGTCTATTTTAAGAATTGGTGCTGGGAGTCGGACTGGGTGAAATGCAGTAAATGTGCTCTGTCAAGAGGTGCTGACAGAAGAGTAAAATGTTTTCCTGGGAAAAAACATTTTCATTTTATTAAAACCTCCTTCTCCGGAGAAGAGTATTCTCAGTTTTTCTTTATTCTTAACTGAGGTTTTATGAAGTCTTAACTTAGTGAGATGTTTAATACATGTGAATTGGACATGTAAGTGACCATGAGCTTTCAGGAGCAGATGCTGCTACTGTGACTGCGCAGAATTGTCGTTCAGCAAATGTTTTAAGTGATATGGCTAACCTGTATATTTATAGTGACTTTCTTTTTCTTCTTCCCCAACCCCCTTGTCCTTAGCGTTTCCATGGTTTGGAATGGATATCGGTGGAACATTGGTTAAACTGGTCTACTTTGAACCTAAGGACATTACTGCAGAAGAGGAACAGGAGGAGGTGGAAAACCTAAAAAGCATTAGGAAATACTTGACCTCCAACACAGCCTATGGTAAAACTGGCATTCGCGATGTCCATCTTGAACTGAAAAATTTGACTATGTGTGGACGCAAAGGAAACCTGCACTTCATCCGCTTTCCCAGCTGTGCTATGCACAGGTTCATACAGATGGGTAGTGAAAAGAACTTCTCCAGCTTGCACACTACGCTCTGCGCCACAGGAGGTGGAGCTTATAAGTTTGAGGAGGACTTCCGAATGGTATGTGAACAGTTCATATGGGTTCAGCGGGAAGTACTTTGGGAAAACATCATGGGAGTCCTTCTGTTAAAACTTGCAGGGAAAATAACTTTTTTTTTTTTTGGTCCATCCTAACTGGTTAAGAGTAACAGAATCAATTAACGTTTGTTAATTGTTGGAGTCCCTGAGAACATGGAGGGGGCAGGGCAGGGTATTCTACTGAAGTATTACTGTGCAGGATGTCTTCAGTAAATGTTTTTCAGCTGTAGAGTTGAACTGGAAGTTACCTCATGGCTATCGCAGCTCGGCACTTCTCTCCATAGCTTTGGCTTTATCTGGCATGAATATGCAATTTACAGTGAGGGACCAGTCTCTTGTCATCTCAGCTGCAATATAGTCAATGTAGCAACTGAAGCCGGGGCTGTTTTGCTAGCCATTGTACAAAAATATGAGGTCACAGAGCAAATTGCTGGTGGACTTAGGCATGAAATCTCATATTTCTGCAGTGTTAGTTAACATGATTCTGTGTGCTGCAACAGTTGTAGGTAGTTTAAGAAAAACACTATAAAGGCCGGCTGAGGTGTTTTGTAGCATAGAGCCATTGGTGAAGTGCACTCACACATGAGTGCGTGCTTTGGACACCTCTTACGCATATCCACTTCTGCACCTTCCTTTATAGCAAGTATTTCTTGGCTCAAACTGTAATATCCATAGAGTATTACAGAAGCAAAATACTATCCATTACATGAAGGTTTGCTTGCTTAATCTCTCTCAAAGGGCTGAGTGTCCTGGGTACTAGCACTTCAATTGTCACACTTCGTTAGCCATTGTAACAGCAGCTGGCTATCTCAGTGTGTTCTGCTGACTGTAAATTGACATTGGACAACAGCTTCAGGATTGCTCTCTCAAAGCATTGAAATGTCCGTTTCAAACACTTGATCACTGTAATGCACGTGTAGAAGTAGAGAACGTGTGCAAGTCTAATATCCTGCTGTTGCAGGTTTCAGTATTGTCTGATGCCTTACATGGTGATTCTGTGGAGGAGGCTTTAAATGCTTCTAAGTAATGGAAACAGTAACAATGTGGAAAAACTAAAGTTTGTTTGTGAATGTTGTTAATTTCATAACAAAATCTGGCTAAATGCTAGGAAACTCATCAAACTGATATAGTTAACATGCTTTTGTTCTGGCCCTTTATTTCCCTATTGTTGTGGTTTAACCCCAGCCAGCAACTAAGCACCACACAGCCACTCGCTCACTCCCTGTATCCTGGTGGGATGGGGGAGAGAATCGGAAGTGTAAAAGTGAGAAAACTCATGGGTTGAGATAAGAACAGTTTAATAATTGAAATAAAGGAAAATAGTAGTAGTAACAATAACAATATAATAGTAATAATAATATACAAAGCAAGTGATGCATGATGCAATTGCTCACCATCCACTGACTGATGCCCAGCCAGTTCCCGAGCAGCGATCGCTGCCCCCCAGCCAACCCCCCTCGGTTATATACTGAGCATGACGTCATATGGTATGGAATAGCCCTTTGGCCAGTTTGGATCAAATATCCTGCTGTGCCCCCCCCAGCTTCTTGTGCACCTGGCAGAGCATGGGAAGCTGAAAAGTCCTTGACTAGAGTAAGCACTACTTAGGAACTACTAAACCATCAGTGTGTTATCAACATTACTCTCATACTAAATCCGAAACACAGCACTATGCCAGCTACTAGGAAGAAAATTAACTGTATCCCACCCGAAACCAGGACACCTATGTACATGCTTTTAAGTTATTTGTCTTTCGTGGTATTTCTGGATGCTTATGGGACTTCCAGGATTGCGTAGACTTAGGAAAAAAGATCCAACATATTGCAAAACAGCATTCAAATCCCAAAGAAGGACTCCTTCTAAGATTGCAGCAGCTTTTTCTCCTTAAAATAGACAAGCAGACACCCTGTTGTTACTTCCCTGTTCCAGTGTCTAATTCTGAATCCCCAGATGAGTTAAATGGATTTGATCTAGACATCTCTGCTTTTGTGTGTTAACAAATAAAATAAAATTGGGAGGCATCTTCTGTTTACCTTAAGCCTGTCTTCTGTGCCATAGAAAGGCAACTAAATCTACAAAGCTAGCTAGAGAGCTGACCTTCCTCTCACGTGATCCACAGTGTTGGATAGAAGGAGACCTGGAGAAGTCTCCATGGACTGCTTGGTCACTGCTGGCAATAACAATCAGTAACCTGGTAAATCATGTGATTCATTCTTAAGATCTGAATGCTTCCCCTAGAAGTAGGAAAACTGACTCTGTTCATTAAACTAGACTACAGAAATAATTTTACCAACCATGTGGTTAGACTTAATGTTCGTTGAAGAGCCATCAATACCAACCATGTGGTTAGACTTAATGTTCATTGAAGAGCCATCAATAAGTAATTCACTAAAAGGACTGTTTCTAGCTTAGTGTTTTTTCTGGGTTTTGTTTTTTTTGTTCAGGGTTCCCTCCCCCCCACCGCCCCTTCCTGAATGACTGGTCTTATGACTGGCTGACTTTATTTTCGTGTAACGGTGTTAAGGCATGGATAAATCTGTCACCTAATTCTGATAATTCCCCCTCCTTTCCCCAATTACGTGCTGTCACCTCGCATATTCTGTAAATGCTCAAGTAATACCACTTCTGTAAAAGTAAGGAGTACATAGACTTATTTGCTTGTGTACCTGTAATATAAATCTCTTTATACTCTGACTCCTCCATGGTAGCACATGCACATTACTTGCACAAAAGTATGCTGTTAATGTAATGAGGAATACATTTTTAGACTGTCACTCAGTTTTGTAAAGCAAGTCAATGTAAAGGATATATGGGGGAATGAGGGGAGAAAGGACTATTCATACTTTTGTCTAAAACCTTCCTGCTGATTGCAGTGGCTCCAAGGTGGGATCTTTGTATTCCTTTCCTGAACAGGCACCTACAGAACCTGTCTTGTCTTGATAGGAATTTTACTGCTAGCTTCAGTGGAAGCAGGATCTGGGGCAAAAACCAATCATGTAATAAAGAACATTTGGAGCAGGGGAGGAAGAAAATCTGTTACAAACACAAACTTAAACTCAGGCCTTGACCCTCTGCATAACCAGTAAGAAAAATGCTTTAAGAGTAAACTTGGACAGTTGGACAGTTATTTTCTTGTGCCAGTTATTAGCTGATTCTAAGGCTTGACTTTGTGGTGTGAACCAAATGCCTGCGGATGACTAGTAGACTGTATTTGTCTTAAAACAAATAAACTCACTGTCCTGTGCTGTAGGATGAGTAAGCTGTGGAACTCTAGGTTAGCCTAAGACAATCAAAGTTAGTGTAAGACACTCAAAAATCTTGTTGCACCTCACTTGCTTGAGGAGGCTGGACACTGCTGGCCTGTAGTGTGTAGACTGGGCTGGAGTTGAAAGTGGCATCCACAGAACAGGTGAAGTAACCATGCTACCTTCTGTTACCACCACTGCAAGAAGCTAGGAGACTCTTTGGAGGGAATGGGGAGAAGCAATGTGCATCTTTTCCCTGCCAAGAGAGGGAAGAGATCCTTACAGCCAGCTGGGTGAGAGGGCAGATCCTCTGCAGAGTATCCCAGACTAGTGCTTTTTTTGCCCAAAGCTAGTGCAGAGTCTATCTTCTCTTCTGTCTCTGCAAATGTTGGGCTTACCCTTTATTTGCATTAGACTCTGTCTTGTTTGAATGTGAGTGGATATTTCCCAGCCTCAGGTATGGAATGACCTGGGGGGAGTACCTCATCTGAGCTCAAAAAGAAGCAGGGTTGGGGGTTCAGGTGAAGATATTCAAAATATATAGGAAGCAAAATTTGTCTTTATGGAAGTGGAGGAGAGGTAATGGGAGGGAGATGGAAGGAAAAGCTAGACTGTAAGCTGTTATAAGAAATAAAAACTGGAGCAATGCCTAGAAGGCATATAAAAGCCACAGTGATATAGTAAATGAGGCTGCTGTTGTTGATAATTAAAAACTTACAAGACGTTGTGTTCCTAACAGTTTCTTACAGAAAAAAATTCGTGCTTCTGATTGAAAGTCCAAGAGACAGATGAACTCGTAACTGCATTTAGGTTTGAATATTCCTGTGCTTGCCAGAACTCCGTAACAGTGTGAAAATTCAAACTGGGTGAAATCTTTCATGAGCTGGAGCTTCATTGAAAAGATGCCTGCACACCAGTGTTGATCCATTAGGCTGCAACCCTGCTGCATATATGTCATGGCTGCCCTAAGCTCACTTCTTGAGGACTGGGCTGTTTCATGTGTTCCTTGCTGAGGTGGAAATACTGATCCATAGAGAAACATGTGACTCAAGCCTTTGACTTCTGTGCTTCCATACTTCAAAGCAGCAGCAAGTTGGTACCATGATTTTTTCCTTTTATATGGTCTGGTACTTGAATACAGCTAAAAATTGATTGACATTATGCATATTATTTTAAAAAAAAAAAAACAAACCACAAACCACCAAACCCAAGCAAACACCAAACCAAAAAAAAACCCCTAAACTTGAACATACAGTACCATTTTCCAGCACTTCTTGCAAGTGTACATCAAGAGGCAGGCTTTCATTGTCCTTTGAGTAGTATCTGTAAGCAGTAACAACAGACCTTTTGTGTATCTTTGAAATCCACTGGGTTTCAGGAGTTTGTTGCTACGGTGTGAACTGTCATGGGGAAGCGTCCCCTACTTCCTTGCTGTGTTGCACCTGCTTGTAAACATGGTTAAAGTCCTGAGTCCCTCCTTTTGATGGTCCTGACGAGTTCCTTGAGGTCCAAAGTGTTTTATTCCCTCCCTCCCCCTGGTATTTAAAAAAAAAGTCTAAAATAAAGAGGAATTTCTACAGTTTGGCCGTAATGCAGAAAAATTGTTCTTGTAAAAAATGTACATATGGTTTCCCTGTAACCATCATCAATTTTCCCTCCAGGGCCCTGTATACTACTTTGTCCTGCAGTTCTTCGTCTCATAGCACAACTTCCTGACATGAAACTTCTCTAGAGAGGCACTGCACTGAATATAGAGGAGTGCAGAGCAGGATAAGTTGACCACTATGCTGTCTGCCCTCACATTAGGGATTGTAAAGGGCTGGAAAATATCTGCAAGTACATTTTGTAAATAGTTGTAGGAAAAACGTCCAATTAAAATGTGCTTCTATACACAGCTCCCATTTTTGCTTTGCATTTTTGCACATAAACTTGAGTTCCTGCAAGGAGAAGATGTTTGAACAGCTGAAAGATGAGGACAAGTGGCGTGTGGTAGGTCAGGTGATGGCACCAGAAAAAAAAAAAGTTTGCCTACTCATACATTAGTTAGAACGTTTACAGGTACATCTATTTTGTCATGCACGTTTGCTGCTTGAGTCATTGTGAGCAAAGAAACAAATAGAGAAAAGGCAGTTCTGTATGCAGGGAAAGGGACTGGGGAGTTGTGAACCTGGCTCTATCATGGCTTCTTGTACAAGTCTGGGTTACTAGGTTTCTTGCAGCTGTGCCCTCATTCGTGTTTAGAAACAAGAACAGTGGTGGCTCACTGGGCTCTTTGGAGCCTCAGGACTGGTGGCTGCAGAGCTCAAGGTTCTCTGAATGAAGGCGGATCGAAGTGGAGTACTGATGCCAGTCTTGCTCCTTCCAAAAATGAAAACCAGACTGCTGCAACAACACAGGAAAATAGTTTTTCAGTCTGCTATGAATATCATATGTGAAAGAAAGCAGTAATGTTTTTTTTCTGCTTACAGTATATCAGCTGTTAAATATAGCAGAGAGCTATAAAAAGCAGAGCAAATTCTAGTATGTCTTTTATACATGGAGGGCTGGACCTAATAAAACTCCTATGCTTAGTGGTTGAAAAAGAACCTTTGAATAGTTTCTTTTGTTCTGTCCTTATGAAATTGTTGGGCTTGCTTACTGGAGAGTTTGTAGAAACAAGAATTTTGTCTGTGTTTTTGCACTGATGCCAGAAGTGTTTTACTCTTAATTTGTATTGCTTGCTCATGTCTTGCAAGGTCTCTCGCTGGTGCTTACCTATTTATAAAAGCATAACATGGATGAGACAAAAGCAGCTTGTGGCTGGGTATTTGGCTTGCGGGAGAAGAGAGGTTTTGACAGTGGGGGCCATAAATCTGCTAATGACTTGTCTTCATATAGCAGGGTTCTGGTTTGTAGCATGTTTGTGCATGCTGCATCTGTGTTGGATTGTGTTTGGTCATGCATCTAGCTCATACAGTAAGATGAGGAAATTGAGACTGTACAGCACACAATCTAGAGAAAGATCATGGTTAGTGTAGGATCTTTCCTTATTTTGGCTAGCTATGTGCAATGTTAGTTGGGTTTTAACAAAATAAATAAATCCTTTTAGTGGGCTCCTTCCAGTGTCTGTTGTGAGAAAGAGTGCATGAAACATACAATACAAGGCATTAACATAATAAATATCTCTTGATTGGAGCTTTCCTCTCAGTCTAATAACAAGAAATTGCTGAAATCAAAGATACTTGCAAGGTAGCCTTAAGATTTTTGTAACATTTCTTTAAAAACCCTTTCTCCTGATTTGTGTCTGTTCTTTTTATTTGCTGGCTAAATGGTTCAAGTCTTTTATGCTGCATTTCTGTAATTGTAATTTCTGTAGCCATGTGGTAACCAAGAAAAAAATATGAAGGGATTGCAAAAGTTACAGGAGGAAATACTGAAACAGGAAGAAATTGTCTATCTCCTATGTCTCTATTGCCCTGTGAATAACTGGATCTATGTTGAGGTCTTTGAGACTGCTGGTTTGGGGTTTTTTGTCTTATTTCTTTTCTATGGTTCCAGGATTCGAGGACTAGCAAGTATAACAAAAGGGCAGATTCAAAGAGTAGAATGGCTTTCTGTTAAGGCAAGTTAGAGCTATGTACAAGTAGAGAAAAAAACTTAAGGGGAGAGATTTAAATAGCTCAAAAGAATGTAACCTATTGACCATGCCCGTTCCACAGAAATATCTTTTCTCTTTATAGTGACTTAATATAGCTTCCAGAATTAAAAATAGGAGGTAGTTAGCCTCGTAAATCTTCTCCATTAGCTGTTACAAAAACATCCTGCAATATGCAAATGTTTGAGAACCAGCTCTATGCTGTATAACTCCCAATTGTTCCTAATACCCTGTTGCTTTTTCTGCTAGAAAGTGGAGTTAGGTAAGACCTACTTTGCAGGTGTGAGGATGCAAATGACGTCAAGGTTTGGACAGGCAACTTTACTAGTTTTTCTCCCTCTCCTCTCCCTAACACAAGTCTAAGCTCAATGTCATCTGGAAAGGAGACTTTCTACAGATTGTCACTATATCCTATTTCGAGAAAGGGATGTGATTTCCAATTCTAGTAAACAGAAAGCTATGGCAAGTAGATGAGTCTGTTTAAGTACAGTCATGGGTGACCTATGAGATCTCAGACGGAATGTCCTTTTTAAGCTCTTGTAATTCTTTTTCTGCCTTCTGTTGCAGTTATATTTTTATGAACATTTTGCTGGGGGCATGGGCCTGACAATATTTTTGCTTGGGTTTTTTTGTTATTGTTTTTCACCAAACATCGGGAATACCCTATTTTTCATGAGCTGTTTTAAAGTGCTCATCATAATTTAAAGAATTGGTGCTCTCAGATTACTGGTGACATGTACTGAGAATAATGCAAATCTTTGAAGCATAACCCACTGCATATTTAATGCATATTAACATAAGCATGTGCACTTTGTAAGGCTTTAACTGTCTTGTTCTTTAACTGAAGTTTCTTGATCTTAATGCTTCTGTTGAATATTTCATTAAATTGCTGGAAAAGGTAGTTGGATGATGAGTTTAAAGCACACTGCATCCTGAGGAATGCTGCTGTGCAGGCACGTGTCAGATACTGTCCAAAAGATGCAGAATGCAGCTCCTCTTGGGATGGGGGTGAGGGGAAAGATATTTATTGCTTCAGAATACTGAGAGTGGGGAAATGTTTCCTGCTTGCAGAACAGGGAATACGTCAAAGACAAAGGAACTAAAAGAAGTTACTGCACAGCACATTGCTGTTTTGGGAGGTACCTGTTGTCAGGCAGATAGCAAACTCCTTTTATTGCGGGCTTCATGCTTAGACGGATCTTTGTACTGTTTAAATAGTGTAATTTGTTACTATTAAAGTGATCAAAGCGCTTCAGTGGAGCCTTTTGTCCTTCTCAGTGTTGTATTATACTAGGAAATGTTTATTTATTAATTTCTTGTTGTTCTTTTCCAGATTGCTGATCTACAACTCCATAAACTGGATGAGTTGGACTGTTTGATCCAGGGCCTCCTTTATGTTGATTCTGTTGGTTTCAATGGCCAACCAGAGTGCTATTATTTTGAAAATCCTACAGATCCTGAACAGTGCCAGAAAAAGCCTTACTGCCTTGATAATCCATATCCTATGCTGCTGGTTAACATAGGCTCAGGGGTCAGCATCCTAGCTGTGTATTCTAAGGACAACTATAAGAGAGTCACAGGATCCAGGTAAACTTTAATTCTATGTTCTTTTAATTCTGTTTTCTTTTCTCCTTAATAATTGAACAGATAGAACCAGTGTGACTAGCAGGTGCAGCCCCAAATTGTGCTTGTCTTCCCATTCCTTTTAAAAGCCCACCTGTAGCAAGGCTGGAAATACCCTAGGGTTCCTTCAGAGCAGGGGGTCTATCTCAGGGAAATCGCGGATCCATTCAACTTTGGAGCTGCCTTAGCCTCTTCTTGGTGTTCTTACCTACTTTCTATCTCTTGCTGTGAACTGCCAAAATAAAGCTGTCCCAGTAAATAAATCTTCTCTCCGCTGCTTTGATCTCCCAGAACAGCCAAAGCAGTGAAAGAAAAATGTTTAGGTTAAACAAAAACCTTTTGCTTAGTAGTTAGGATGTATCCAGGATATAGGAAAACTTTGTAGAATTACCTGCTACTACTGGATTTTGGCAGAAGAATCTCACTAGATCTCTTGTTTCTTTACTGATTGTACTAGTCTTTGGACCATGCTGGTAAATTAAGGAATGCCAGTGTGTAAAGACTAGAATCTGATTGTCTGTATTCTTACTTTGTCCTCAGCATGATTTTAGCCTGGGTCAGCTGGTGCTCTCTGAAATGATCTATAGGGTACAGCTGAGTTGAAATGGTCTCTGGCCTGTGTTGAATAAGAGATTAGATGTGACAGCTCTGTTTAGGAATTCAGGAGTTCAGTAGTGTGGATGGAGAATTTTGTTCTCAAGGCCAAAAAACATCCTGAGGCATGTTTAAGTTTACTCTATAGATGTGGCAACAGTGCTTACATACAGGAAACCACTTTAGTTACGAATGTGTCTATCCAGACTAGTAGTAAAAATACAAATAAATCTATCCCACTTTTTTCTTATACATGCAAACTAAATTGACGTACTTCATTTTTAGTAATCTTGTGATCTTAAAAACAAACAAACAAACCACCAAAACAGAAACCTAAAAAAATCCCCTTCCAAAACAACAACCAGAGAAGCTTTTTGGATTTGCTATAGTCCCTTCCAAAGCTGCATTCTGTTCTTCAGTGCATGGTACATATTAATAAAGTTTCTCCTGTATACTGCACATGACTGCATATGTGTCTTCGGTTGCCTTATCTAGGGTATATATTTGCCACAGTAGTAGCCATGAGCCATTTTTCTGTATACAGTACAGATGAACGCAAGTTGAATGGAAGAGGTATTGGTTTTCTTGCAATTCTGGTTGTTTTTCAAGCATAGTCCTTTTGATATCTGTAGGTGTGCTTCAGATCCTTTCTACTACAAAAGGAAAAACATGACTGCAGTGGGTTGCTAACTTGTTATAGATGATGAAATCAATATTGTCTTGTGGATGGTGTGCAGAGCTTCCTACAGTTCAGATACTAAATATATTATGGTGCTACTAGATGTGTTCTGAAAAACTTGCCTGATAATCCAAGAGCACTGACTCGTGTTCCTTTTTGACCTCCTGTGGGTTTTTGTGAAGTGCAAGTATGGTGTCTCACTGATCCTCTTGTTTACAGTGGCTCCGATCAGTGTGACTGCAATCAGTGCAAATAAGTGAACTTTCTCAAGGGTTAAGAAAGAATGAGGAAGGATGTAGAGGTTAGTAGGTTGAAGTTCATGTCTGTTAAGACTGAAGAATCCAAAGTAGAATTTTAATGAAATGAGTTAGCAACCTGTTATGCTCAGTCAAATACTCCCTGCTAAATTTATATAGTCAGTAAATATTATACTTGAGCCCGTGCAAGATATTAAAGTGGCTGCTCCTTGCTCAGAATTCTTTGAAGGGCTGAGGCATTCAGGGCTGATGCTAGCCTTGCTTTGAACAGGAACCAACCAGGCTGCTTCCTGCAACTAGCTAGGGGAACAAGATCTGTCTTGGCTGCCTGTCCCTGCATAGATATTTAGCTTTGATCACTGTTTACTCTTTCATCGCTGACTGAAGTGATCTGCTGGCTAATTATTCTTGCACAAGGAAAACTTGCTGGAGTGCTACAAATAGCAAACTGACATCTGCGGTGTTGGATTGGACCTTATTCTCAGCTAAGCCTTTATTTAGCATCATTTCTCCTATTGAAATATTAAGGACTTAAGAGTGGTTCAGTTAAAACTACGCTGGATGACATTTCTTTTAAATAGAAGCTCAATTTAGGGTGTCTGTCTTCGCTTCTCTGAGGGAGGAGTTGCAAGATATAGTTGGTAGCTGCACAGACCGTGCTGAAAACAGGAGTCTGAAGAGCTGTGGTAAAAGCTGGTTCAAGCTGCTGGTCTGAAGGAACTGTGCTTTTCTAGTCTTGGAGGAGGAACGTTCCTGGGCCTGTGCTGTCTGCTGACTGGCTGTGAGACGTTTGAAGAAGCACTAGAAATGGCCGCAAAAGGAGACAGCACCAATGTGGATAAGCTGGTGAAAGATATTTACGGAGGAGACTATGAGCGGTTTGGCCTTCAAGGGTCTGCTGTAGCCTCAAGGTACATGTTAATTGAGCTGTTTTTAAGGAGTTCCTTGGAAAACTTAACTGTGCATGATGAACTGAGTGCGTAATCCCTGGACTATGCACTATGTCCATGTGAAAATGTCACTCTGAATGTATCATGTGGTTTGTCCTTAGATCTCTCACCTACTTCTTACTCTTTTTTTTTTTTTTTTTTTAAACTGGTATAAGCAATGCTTGATGTAGTTTGCTTCCATTTAAGTTACAGTTATTTTAGCAGAAGTGTCTTTGCTCATTGTTCTGCCTTTCCAATGAGATCCCTTTTCGCATGTTCAAATCTGTCTCAAATCGATGGATATCAAATCCAAGCAAAGCTTATTAAATGATAAAATTTGTAAAGGCTTTTAGCACTCCTAAATAACTCATATTAAAAGGAATAATCTTCCTCACACAGCTTTGGCCATATGATGAGTAAAGAAAAGAGAGATTCCATCAGTAAAGAGGACTTGGCCAGAGCTACTTTGGTCACCATCACCAACAACATAGGTTCTATTGCTCGCATGTGTGCATTGAATGAGGTAAGATGGCATATTTACTATAAGCTTAAAACCTTTAGAAACAACATAGTAAGATTATCAGAATACAAAATGAAAATTGCTGGTATAGGAGGTGTGTAACTGGCCTTGGTAAATATGCATATATTTAACGTTGGGCCCTAACTCTTGTGATTTGTGTTACGTGTTTGCTTAGATGCAAAGTGTAAGGTACTTCAAGTTTCACAAGAAGAGGGGAGAAAAGTTGACTGTAAAGATCTCCTTGAACCGTTGATGCCTTGAGCTGTTCAGTTGATCTCAAGCTGTAATATGTAGACATTAACGCCTTTGTAATCCAAATTAATACTCTCAATTACCTTGTAGTTATTAACAGATCTTACTATATACCATGACAGATTTTTTTTTTTAATCGTATTTTGCTTGGCTTGTTTCTATAGTGTGATGTGTTCAAACTGTGTATTGTGTTAAATGTTTTGATCCATTGCGCTGGGTCAGAGAGAAGAAAAATATAGTTCATTATCCTCCCTCAAACTCCTATCAGATGCTTGTTACATTCTTTTCTTTAGGCATAATAACTATGGATGGATTGTTCCATTCATGCACCTTTCCAGCTTCCAGCAGTTTAAAAAACCCCAAATCCCCAACATTTAGACGCTTGTTTTGAGCTGTAGTTTGCATCCTTTACTATTATGTGGTAACTAATCTCTTTTGTCTGCTTTCAATGAATTTGTCTAATATTTTTTTAATACATTGATGTTTTTAGCTCTACAGCATTCTGTGGTTAGAAAAAAGTACTTTTTTTTAATTTTTTTATCAACAACACATCTCCACCCCCCCAAAAAAAACCCAACAAAACAAACCCAAAAAACTCGCCCAGCTGCCATCTGATTACTTTATTGGGTCATATCTAGCTTTTTGCTTTATGAGAAATAGCAAATAATTCATCACTAGTCCTTTTGGTGGGGGGTGGTTTTTTTGTGGTGTTTTTTTTGGTTGGTTTGTTTTTTTTTTAATAAACCTTAACCACATCTTCCTCTTGGTCTTTCTGAGACAGAAAGTCCTAATACTTAGTCTCCTCTCCTATGGAAGACAGCGTCTCCCTTTTCCACTGTTTCATTTTGTCTTTTTAATCATTTTATGGTTCTAATTTTGAGATTGAATGATCAGATCTTCATGCAGTATTCAGAGTGTGGTTGCATAATTACTTTAGGTGATGGCATATTGATAAATTTTGTGTTCTGAGTTCCTTTACTAACAGTTCTTAATATTTTATTTTTGTGAGCATGGAGGTCATATTTTTCAGAAACCATCCACAGTCTGTCTTGAGCGGTGGTGGCTAATTTGGCTATCATTGTGTCCGAATACTGAAGTCTCTCTGTCTCTTTCCCCTTCTTTACGTGTCATTTCACTCTTTTAATTAAAACTTCATCTGCCATTTTATTCCTCAGTCACTGGGTGTAAATCTCTTCAGCATTGCTATGCTGTTCATTTTTTATTCTGACTCTCCTGAATAACTTTGTATGCCAATAAATGTTATGTTTGTTGCTAATATCCCTTTTTAGAGCACTTTTAAAATGTGTTGGAACAGCACAAGTCTCAGTGTATGCCCCTATCAAATGCCACTGATAACCTCCCTTCATCGTGAAAAGTGGCTACAGACGTTATTTTTTTGGCAGTTTGACTCTTTTCAGTCAGGATGATTCTCTTTCAATGTTCTCTTTGCTTTCAGCTTCTTTACAGTGTTGCCTTGTGGCATGGAGTTCAAGCAGCATTGTACAGGGCTATCAAAGCATGGAGAGTTGCAGCAGGGAGCCACATGCGATGCATTCAGAGGAAGAAATAGGCTATTAATGAAACTAATGCTTCTGAGTCATTGTGAAAAAGTTCCTCATATCTTTGTTTTGTGGGTGGGCTTACTCAAAAACTGGACACGATCCACAGAACTTTGTGGAGGAATGTGGATTGATGTATAAAGCATTCTTCATTTCCCAGACAATGTCAAAGTAGAGTTTCTCCAACAGAACTAAACTTATTCTATAGCTTTAGAGGAGAAACCCTTCATTTAGTAGCTTTACATATTGTTAAAAAAGATTTCAGACATGATTATATTATTGCAAGTCAGCTAATCTCTGGATAGCTTGCTCTCGGGGAGAAAAAAGTAATGCTGTTGTAATCTAGACACCTAAATTGCCTTTGGGAGATACAGCTCTGACTCTCAGTAAACTTGATGAATTAAATGCCCAAATAAGAGCTTAAAAAAAGTTGAATGTGATCTATTCTTTTGTGGAGTTTGTGTGTATTAGATTAGGGTTATGGTGAAGCTCACTTTTAGGTTCTTTGACAAAATCAGTTTATGCCCTGAAGCATGAGTTTTGATAAGTTTGGGTTTTTTTTTTCCTTCTCCCCCCACCCCAAATGATTGCAGCTTTAATATTGGTTGAAAATGACTTGCATATGTGCAGGAAAAAATGAGGCTGGGGAATAAATGAAATATTCTGTCTGAAGGACTTCAAAGCAAAGTTTGCTTGCACAAAGTTGGCAGAAGGGTAGAAAAATTCCATAGTCTGGAACCATTTGGCTACACATCGTTTGAAGCAGTCTGTCCTAGGCACAGCAGAACTGCATAAAGGAAACCAATGTCTCTGGTTTATACTTTTCCTACTAGCAGAACGTGTAACTTGCATCTGAACAAGGCTTCTTGCAAAAATATGCACAGAATTATTTTATTGCATCTTTGATATAGATTCCCTTATGCAATTAAATTGGCAAATATGCATGTATACCATATATATTATATTGAAGCTTTGCTATAGCTTTCTACTGCAGGGTAGTTGAACAATCTAGCAAGACCCCACAGAGTAGAAGAGTGAATGTCTTTTCCAGTATGTTGTAATTTGGTTAGCTTAAGCAAGCATTTCATCACCATCCCTTCATCAGTTTAAGAATTCTGTCTTTCAGTTTTGAATATTTCAGCAGTGAACAATTTAAACTGGCAAGAGTCCCGTAAGAGATAAAAGTAGCATTTCTTCATTTTCCAACTCCTGAAAAATGCTAAAGCTGTTTTTAGTTCAGTTTAAACATCTGGGAAACTTTACATCTTTAACATAATTTTTAACCTGTCAAGTCAAGGAATGTTGGAAAATAAAATTGATATGAAATTTGCATGTTGATATACACTCCGCTATTCTAGTAGATATTACTAGCATTTTTAGATTTTAAATTTTCAGTAATTTTTATACTCGGTGTTAGATACTGTTTGCTTGAATTCCTGGAAACAGTAGCATCATGTGTATATTCAGCAAAAAAAAAAAGGCATGTAAATGAAATTCAAATGTAGATTCTAATCAATTTGATGGTATTGCATTACAGGAAATTAGTTACATATTTGTCCCTCCTTTGTCAGAAATTACTTCAGAGACAAAACTGCCTTGTCAGAGGATGCAAAGTGCTCTTGGCCATGTTTAATAGCAGCCTTTTGAAATTTGAGTAGTTCTTATTTTCAGCCATATAAATTTCTAGGAGCGAGTATGAATGCATCCTGATGTGACTGCAGAGTCTAAGGGGATAGATGACTATCAACCTGAATTATTTAAATAAAGTTTGTATTGATATGTTTGGTTTGAAGACAATCAGACATGTAAGTCACTGGAGACTGGATAGATGAATTATTGCATCTGGGTATCAGCACTCTCCAATACTGAGTATTCAGGTGAGGATGTTCTCTGTGGTACGTCACATGCACGGGTACTGGACACGACAAAACTGCAGTTTGCAGCGAAGTAATTGCTGTAGAACCAAGTGTTGGGCTTTATAGAACTGTATGAATCTAAAGAGGTAACACTTGGTAATTCTAGCTTCTATGCAGATTTTTGCTGGTAATTTTCAGCAGAGGACTCCTGAAGATACCTTTCTAGGGCTCCTTCAAGACTCCTGTAAAAGCTTATATCTCCAGGATTTGGCCTCTTACTGAATCTTCTAGACCGGTTCTAGTGTCTGGTTAACATCATACGGTACACCAATTCAAAACGCAAGCGCATTTTTGTGCATAGCAGGCAAAACTCAGCTTGGTAAGATAGTTATGGGCATTGTTTAAGCACCAGAACTGTTGCTTATGTGCACACAGGTAAGGCTAGTGTGTGGCTTTCTCACTGACAGCGTAGTGCTGATTGTTCAAAAATCAAGCTTCTATATGAAAACTGAGTTCAAGTGAGCTGTGAAACAAAGGAATGCAATACATGTCAAGCATCATGTTGGCCATCTTTTGCTTGCTTTTGAAAATGGAACCACAGTACAGATAACAGATAATGAAAGATACTTCTTCCTGTCTCTCACGTAATCCTTCTCAGATACCCTTCAGAGGTTCTCCATCTGGAATTAATAATCATAGTGATCTCTGAAAAGTTGCTTCGTTTAACAAGCAGGGGGAAAAGAAGTCTTCAGTGCAGCCACATCATCTACAATTAAAAAAAAAACAAAACCAACAGCAAAACACTTGTAATGCTGTTCATGTTGAGAAGGTCTTGGCCTTTTAAGCAAATATTCAATGTCTGTGATAGCAGCCTCTCACTTTCTTTGGAATAAACTTTTTTTTTTCCTTCCTTGCAATATTTCTACTTAGCAGTCAGTAACTGCAATTTTTTTTTGACTTTTCATTCTGAAGAATTTAAATGTAACCCAAAATTCCCATTTAACTGTATAGTGGAGGCAGAAGTACATGCTGAATGAGGCAAATAATGTAGCTGAATATGATTTTTGCTGGTCTGCTTTTTAATTTTACAGAATATTGACAAGGTGGTATTTGTTGGCAACTTTCTCAGAATTAATATGATTTCTATGAAGGTGCTAGCGTATGCTATGGATTATTGGTCCAAGGGACAGCTGAAAGCTCTGTTTTTGGAACATGAGGTAAGGAAATGCATGTTGAACTTACTTTTATTTGTAGGTACAAAAATCTTTTCGTTTTTGACTTGGTGAAGTTAAAAGGGAGAATTTCAATGCCATTGCTTTGAAGTGAATGCACAAACTAAGTTCTGCACAAACACAATTTAATTACAAATTCATTTGAAAATACCCCTTGTTAGCTCCCTGGCTTGATCACTAATCTTGTGGTATTTGTTGCTAAACATTGCACATCTCTTATTTTTGCTTTCTGACCCTAGTACTAACAATGTCCATTTGTGTGATCTGGTATATAAACCTCAAGCAGAATTTATTTTGTAAGCGTAATTTTGCGGTGACCATCGGATGGATGTGTTCATAATGGAAACTGCCCTGCCTCAATACAGCATCATTATAGTGGCTCTGAAATGTCTTTTTTGATGGTTTTGGAGAACTGTGTAAGATTTCTCCTGGTATAAGGGTCCTTTCTTGGACCTAAACAAGATCACATTAAATCATAATTCAGACACAGCAAATACTTGGCACAGCAGGGCTGATCTTACAAGAAAGGTCCTTTTATTGCTTTAACAGAACTGAAGACTTTACATGCTCATGCGTATGCCTTATTTTGGAATTTGATTGGTTTCATTTGCTTTTGCCTTGTTTAAAGGGTTATTTTGGAGCTGTTGGGGCTCTTCTAGAATTGCTTAAAATGACAGATGATCAGTGATGAAGCTGTCTGAAGAGATTCCTACTGTAGATGCTGCTGGATAAGAGTGAAAGCCACTACAAGGACGGAAATGAAGCCATTATGGTAGTTCTACCTGCTGGATTTGTAAATAATTTAAAATCCTTTTAGCTGATCTTTAACTGCTGGGTTTTGAGCTTATACTTCAGAATTCATACTGGGAATAACAAAGATTTTTTTTTTTCTGTACACTGTATTTTTTAGGGGAAAAATGTGCAAAGTGGCCAAACATACAGATTTTATGGATTTATTTTAAAAAGTGGATACTGTTTAATGTAGGACCTGTGATATGAGGCATCTGCTTTTCTTCTGGGGTTTACTGATTAGTGTGGTAATTTTAACTTCATTTAGTAATCACTCTAGGAGATTTTTTTATCTTATTTTCATGACGTTTCATGATTTGTTCTTGGTTTCAAATGAAACTACAAAGCTGATGCATTTTACTGTGAAAACTAGTAATGGATTTTTTTCCTTTCCTCATTAGATGAGACACTTTTTTATTTAACATCCTCCTACCTCCCCACCCCCAAAAAAAAATTTACAAGCTTTCTGTGAGCACATGAGTTTCTTGGCAAGACTGTGAGAAAACTTGGTGGGGGTGAGGAGTTTAAGATTGTAATTTTTCAGTAGTCATGACTTGCAACAGGAACAGACTGCCAACTGGTTTTGCAGGACTAATTCTCTTCTACATTAAAAATTTTAAACAAGATGCAAACTAAAATTTTAATTATTGGCTTAACACTAAAATGAAATCCTGTTTGTTGAAAACCTCTGATCTATATGAAGAGTTCTGTAGTACAGATGTTATTTATATGGTACATACTTGGCGTTAGATGACAAAAGGGAGAAGATTTGTTTTCATTTATTTGAAGACTTTTCTGTAGTCTGCAATTTTTAACTTGATCTTAATTCAGAACAACTGATAACTGCATTATTCAAAGCACAGTTTCTAAAATTAGAAAAATACTAATATATTTTCTGGTTTTAAGTTAATGTTAACTTTCCCTCCAGGACACTAAGATTTGAGTGTTTATTCCAATACAGTATTTTCTACCTTTTTTTGATTTGTGGACCTCTCTAGAATTTTTTTTTTTCCAGCTGACTTGAGACCCCTTTGAAATCTATGTACTTAGGTTGCTGCGTAGCATGTATAAACTTGCTTTTCTTAGACACCATGAGGGCTCACAAATCAGAGGCTGAAAACCAGTCCATAAATTATTTTGTCTTGCAAAACTGTATGTGATGTCACATAATGTAAAGGGCTCATCAGGGGGACAGTATAAAATTCAGATACGTGTGTTATCCAATATATTTTTGGAAGGGGGTTTATTTCACTTTGTTAATAGTCATTAATTTCCGTATCTCCCAAATGTTGAAATAAATTCATATTAACTGACGTGTTAACTTGTCTGATGGAAATAAAGACCACTACTCTTATGACGCCTTTAATGTATCTGTGGAATTCATTTCTTGAAATCAGTTATGTGAAATACATAACACTGTTCTGTGACACACGTGACTAGTTATTTCCATGATAATTCTTTGTTTCTTGACAGTGTTTTACTTTGTTACATTGCTTTGGTCTTTGAAGCTTTTTGCCAGCTTGAAGTTGACTTTTTCATAGACTGTAAGCTACAACATGAGACAATTAGCATGTTGTAGTTGATATTTCATGTAATATTGAGCTTGAAATAAGTGGGGATAGTTCTGCTCAGTGCCTTTTAATTTTTCATTAACAAAACAAAACTTTCATTAAGCTTGTTTGCTAAGTTTTGCGTGCAACTGAAGTTTGGTTTGTATGTTGGGTTTTTTTAAGTAAGCCTTCAGAATGTTCAGAGGTAACTGCGCTTCTTATGATAAACTGCAGAGGGAAGCATAACATCGACAATATCAATACGCTTTGCTAAAGTGGTGTAGCTCAGACCAATTCGTGGGCTTGGTTGGTTTGTTTCAGAGAAGATTTCATCATTTTCTCCCTGGTCAATTTTTGTAGGGAATTTGATATCTATCACTTGGGTGTTCTTGCATTCTTAGCTTTTATAGTGATGTGAAGGAAGAATATAATGTTAAGTAAACAAATATGAAACAGCATTTCTTTTAACATTAAAATCCTCTAGCCGTCAAAAAAAAAAAAAAAAATTGAAAGCCTAGCAAGTCATTCAGTAAAATATATATGGACTATGCAAGATGCAGAAATTGAGGCTGTGTGGCTGAAGGAAAGCACAGTTCTGGTAGCCCTGGCGTTAGCTGTAAGATTCCAGGAACTGTCAGGTAAGTTGATCACAGCAGTTCTAAGAGAAGCACAAAATAAAACTAACTTCAAAATGCTGATTGGAAATTTAAAATGCTTAATAGGTAAGTTGTGGCATTTAAAAGACTGGAAAAAAATACTCTGAAGTGTATACTACACAAATGAGTACATTTGGTTGGGAAAAATATTAGCAAACTAAATTAATAGGGTGGAGAATTATGAGAAGTCCATAGGAGAAATTAGAGGAGCCTGGTGTAAGAGGAAAATGAGGTTGTAAGTTAAATTCTTCCTTTCCTGAGGGAGAAAAGCCTACTGCAAAAGTATTTTTTTTGTTACCTCGAAATGTACAGTTGACTCCTTTCTCCTTCCCCATCATCACCATCATATGAATCTGTTAGTACTGTAATTTGCTTCTTTACCTTTAGGCTTTGCCTGCCTTTGCTAATCCCAGCTTTTCTTTTCCTCCCATTTACCTCCTCCATAATTAAGGTAATGGACGAATGACCATGTAATTGATTTTTAGCACTGTTCCAATATTTTTGCCATAGGGAAGCACTTTGGGGTGTTCTAAGAGCATCATTGTCTTGAATTTTTCTGACTGTGTTTTGTATCCAGCTGCTGTCTACAGTCATCTGATGGGAGGGTTCTTTGCCCCGCTTCATCATCCAGAGGTATCTGAAGAGTCTGAGAAAAGTCTTACTTGACTACATAGGTGAACCTCTACTATAAGTGGTACCAATGGGAAATTTGAGCAAGCAAAGCTCTGTTGCACTACTATCAAAGAGTTCTGTTGAGAACCTAGAAATACCCAGATCCTTGGATCTTTTTGTTTTGGGAATGGTGAGGGTGAAGGAGCAGACTTCCCTAAGGAAGATCAGTGAGTCTGCAGATTTAGTATGTATTCAAAGCACTTTTTTTAGTATAAATTGAGGAGATCTCTTAACAAGCTAGGCTGTGTTAATCTAGCTTCTCTTTCTGAAACATGTTAAGGTAATTATTAAGGTAAGTTGGAGCAGAATGAGTGGGATTCCTTGCTCTCAATTGTGATGGCTTGTGCCAGGGTGTGCTTCTTTTGGACTCAGAACACTTGTTGAAACACACGCTGCTCTCCTCAGTCTGTCCCCCCTACTGAATAACCCCAATTTTTAAGGGTTTTGACAAAAAGTCTAATTATGTCCCATAGGAAGAAGGGTCTATGTTTTAAAGTTAAGTTTTTGGACTAAATTATTGGGGAAAAGTTGCTAATGCTGGCTGAAGAGTGAGAGATGACTAGGAGTATTTACTTGATAGATTTGATAGAGAAGACTGGCATGGGGTGCATGGGGGCAGTACAAGAATGTGACTTCTAGGACAAGTGGGGTGTTTGCAGTGCATTCCAACCTCAGCAAAGCTGTCCTGGTGTTTCACTGTTATCAGCACTTATGTTCCCGTTAGACTGTCACAAGATACTTGCAAGTGATTTTTGGCAGGACACAGCAGAATTTTAGAGATGGGAAAACTATATGGGGTTGAACTGGTGACAAAGTAAACATACATGATTGTTTCCAGTCGGATGAGTTCTTCTACTGGGATCTGTTTTTGAAGTACAAGGTGTCTTTGAATTTGGGATTAAACGAAATACAGGCTATGGAGAAGACCACACAGTCTGTTTTGTGTCTTGCTACCTCTCAGTGCCTGGGAGGTAGAGGACATGGGATCTCTAGGTTGTCCTGGAAAATAAATGCTTGTTTAAACCTAAAAACTGAATCCAGTTTCTGATTCTTTAAGTATTATTGGTGCTGATTGGAACTCACTAGTTGCATGATTATTAGTGTGTTTGGAGAAAAAGAGATGTAGTGACTGTGCAATAAGAGTCTGTTCTTCAAACCTCCCCCTACTGCCTCCCCCCAAAAATCCCAACAAAAAGAAGCAAAATAAAAGTTGTGTTTCTAATTGGAAAAGTTAGGAGAACCTGTCAACTGCCTTGGGAATTGAGATGCACGTAAAGCAAGAGGATGTACTGGCACTCAGAGAGAGAGAGGAGAAATCACCAAGAAAGGCTGAGGCTCACAAGAGGGGAAGCTACTGAGCCTGGGGAGAGGACATGGCAGCAGCATCTCTAGAGGTTTTGGGGGGGGTGACATGGGCAAGGTGGGAAGGACACTGCAGGGTAAGCAATAAACTAGGTCTTTGGTAGTGCAGCCAGCGAGAGATGGGTGGCGGTGGTGGGGAGGCCAGGTGGTTTGACAGAACGGCAGGCAGTGTGTTGTCCTAATTCAGAGGTGAAGGAAGAGTGCGGCTGGGTGGTCATGAGCTAACGCTGTTAATGTTACTGCTTGGGTCAAGCACCCCTGTGTAGAGTGCCCAGCGCCCTGCGCTGGAGCGTTAGGTCTCTTATCTAGATGCAGATGTGCTCTCTAGTGCAGGCTATAGCCTGGTCTCAAACGTTGCTTGTCTCAGTACGTGAGACACGCAGTAGGGGATGTACTGGCCTCCAAATGATGATTTTTTTTTTTTTTTTATACATCAAACCCAGTTGTATTGGCAGAAACACAGCTCTTTTCTGCTGGCCTTCGGCATTTTGCTCTGCTGTGTGCAGCTGTGCAAAGCAGCTGGTTGCAGTGAGGGGTCAGCAGCCTCCAGCAGCTTCCCCTGAGGTAAACCCCAAGCTGCTTACAAATGGCAGGGTGGTGCAGCAGCAGAGACCCCAGAGCAGAGTGCTTTGGTCCCGCCTGTTTTATTTCTAAACACTGTGGACGCATCTATGAAGCTCCAAGTTAAAGGTTTGATGTAAGGCAACGAAGGAGGGCAAACGGCCTGAAATGGCATCATGTACTGCAAACGGCGAATGTGTTGCTCCCTGTTCTCAAGTGGTTTTGCTTATTTTGTTGATGATCAGGGCAATTCCAGCTTCACAAGTGTCTTTCCAAGTTGACAGCTTCACTGTTTTCCAGCTTTTTGGATGGATGACCCATCCACACTTCAAAGTGTGAGCAAATCTGAACGTTGTGTCCGCTACAAAGCAGAAGTTACCCTCTAACAAATGCTATGATGTACCAAAGCAGCCTTGGCAATGAGCGTACAGAGTTGAGTTTACCCCTGTTATTGAGATCTCCATTTATGCCCATCCATGAGGATGTGGCCTTGGCTAACCATGTTACCACTTTCTCACATAATATGTTAGAATATTTTTTTTTTCCCCCAGTGGCATACATGTTTGGTTTAAATTCTTTTGTGAGAGGAACTTAAGCTTGCAAGGGAATACATATTCTCTGCTGCCTTGAAAGCATTGAGGAAAAATG